GAAAAAAAAAAAAAAAAAAAAAAAAAAAAAAAAAAAGAGTGCCAGCCAAGTTTTACCACTGCAAAACCTGTCACTGTACTTGAGAAGTTTTCAGAAACAACAAGCAGACATTTACTGAGTGCTGTTGGTTGCCAGGCTACGAGTTGAACATTTGAGAGGCATCATCACATTTTTATCGTGCCAGGCTTAAAAAAGAGAGAGGGCCATGACCAGAGTTTGAGATGGGAAGACCAAACTCTAAGACTGTGCCGTCCAACATGGCGCCCATGGCCCACATCAATTAACATTAAATTCATTAAAAATTCAGTTCCTTGGCCACAACCACTAACCACAATTCAAGGGCTCAGTGGCCACCCATGGCGAGCGGCTACATGTCACACAGCACAGGTATAAACCGTTTCGGTCACAGCAGCAGGCTCCACCGCCCAGTGCTGACCTACGAGGTAAAGTGCTGTAGCTATCCTGACTCGGGGAAGAAGGGGCACAGCTGAAGGAGGTTCTGATTGGCTCCCAAACCGCAGCCTTAACAACTCCGCCTGCCTTCATCCAGTGTATACGCCTCAAGGGCCTACATGGGCCATGCACTGTGCCAGGAACGGCTAAAGATCTGCCGTCCTGGGAGTGGCAGAGAGGTAGCCACCGGATCAGGGTCAGGGTGAAAGTCAAAGGGCACAGGGCCGCCTCTGGTCACCTCCAGGACTTCCTTGCGCACGTCGACGATCCGGAACCAGTGCCGGAGCTGGGGGAAGCCATCCAGCTCCGCGTTGCGCTCCTGCAGGGCCACTTTCTTTTTGCAGGACAGCTGCCGGCTGAAGTACTTCACCAGTTTGCTCTGCAGAGACAAAGGAGGATAAGGAGGCGCTTAGAGCACTGCCACCAGGGGCAGAGGCAGGAACCTCCACACACACTGCCTTCCACCCGGCCCCTCGCCAACTCCATATCGTAAAGACTCCAGTTCAACTACAATGATCCGGTTTCCCCCTGCTACAGGTTGAAGAGGATCCAAGTGTGTCCCTTAAAGAATCATGCACACTGGACCCTTGGTCCCCAGTGTAAGGCTCCTGACCGATGCTGGATCGTTAAGAGGTGGACCTGGTAGAGATGACTAGGTCCTGGGGTACCACCCTCGGGAGAAATTAGTGCTGTTAGTTCTCTAAAGAGTGGGCTGTTAAAAAGCCAGACCACTCCACAAGCTTAGTCTCTCCTGCAAGTCACTGGTTCCCTTTCTACTTTATTTTAGCATGACACAGCTAGCACCATGCTAATGGGACCTTCCAGCCACTAGAATCATGAGCCACATAAACTTCTTTTCTTTTTAAAGCACCCGGCCTCTGGTGTTTTGTTATAGCAACAGAACCCACCAAACACACCATGCTGGTAAAAATGGACTCCAGCATTTTGTGGGGTGGGGAGGGGGCTGCAACACATTGGTACACTTCAGTGGAGGACGTTTTAGCTATATGCACTTAAATTTTCATTACATATCTCCTGGACCCAACAAGTCTGCCTCTAGAAACTTGTTCAGTCGATGCTCATCCTGCGCAAAACAGCTGAGTCCAAGGTACATTTTCTTACAGTTCTGTTTGCGATGCCAAAAGACAGCAAACACCCTGAGCTCCACTGGTAGGAAAGGCACCCAATAAACAGCCACACAAAGGAACTCTAGACAGCTAGAAAACAGAACTGCAAAGCATCCTAAGCACTGACCCAGTGCAGTTCCCAAGACACACTGATAAGTAAAAATAAATCAGGCCCTATCCCCATGGAAAATGCTTCCATCTACGAATCTCTGTAAAAGCAGAGTCTCTCCCCAAGGATGCCTGATCCTCTAGGGAAAGAAAGGGAGGATGGGGAGCAGAGGTAGGGAGTACTTCATTTCAACACTCAGGTGTCACTTACTAATTCACACACAAGTATTCACGAGCTGACAAATTCTTTTAAAATGAGATGGGTGTCGCTGGATGTCTTGGAAGCTCAGGGCTGCTGCTGGGGCCACTTGGAAGCCGAGCCTGCCTGGGAACCCACAGAGAGTGGAAACCAGAGTGGCGAGGGAGGCAGCGCCCTCTCCCTGGGACCACAGACTTCGGCCCGTCAGCAGAGCCCCTGGAGTAGTGAGCACAGAAGCACACAGCCCTGGACTATGCCACAACAAGTCCATTCGCTTTTTTTTCTTTTTTCATCTTAAGCTGGAGCTGGGTTTCTGTCACTAAAGCCTCCTCTCTCAGCAGGAGGTTAAAGGACATCCGGGCCCCCTTCATGAGGGAGTCTCAACACCCAGGGTGTTAGTCTCCTCTGGCTGCTGTAATAAATGTCCACAAACTCAGAGGCTTCAAACAAATTTCTTAGCCAACAGTTCCGAGGATCAAAAGTCCAAAAATCAACCTCACTGGGCTAAAATCAAGGGGTCAGCCTAGCAGTGCTCCCACTGCAGGCCTCGGGGCAAGATCCAAGATCTGCTTCTTTGTTCTCAGTGTCTAGAAATGACTGCGCTCCAGCGAGCTGGGCCCCGTCGGCACCTTGCTCCACCATCACAGCTCCCAGCCCCAATTCTGACCTTCCGCCTCCCTCCATCAGGACCCTCGTGATGACGGCCACGGGATGACCCCATCTCAACAGCCTCGAGCACATCTGCAAAGTTCCTTTGGCCATGTGGTGCCACACAGTCACAGCTTTTGGGGCCATTACTCAGCCTGCCATGGTGGCGCCACTCTCTTGGCAAGTGGTTCGATTCTGCCCGAATCTTTACTGAGTCTCTGCCATCATGGTTTGGATCTTAAACTCCACCCAAATGCCCATGTATGAAAGGCGCAGCCTTCAGTTCGATGACCTTGGGAGGTGCTGGTGCCCTTAAGAGGTGGGGTGCAGTGCAGGTTATAGGTCACTGGGGTGAAGGGAATTATGGGAGGCCAGCCTCTTTCATTTCCTGCCACTGAAGTGAGCAGCTTCCTCCACCACACACGTCCGCCATGATGGGCTGCTTGGCCACCAGCTCAAAGCTACAGGCCCCACCTGCCATGGACTGAAACCTCCAAAACTATGAGCCCAAACAACCCCTTTCTCTTTTTAAGTCCGATTACCCCAGGATTTTGTTACAGTGTTAGAAAACTGATTAACGCATCTGCCACAGAGCAAGAATGTTCTAGAATACTGGCATTCAGGTAAGGAACCAGAAATGGCTCCGAGCTTAGGGTGCTCAGGTGCAAGACTGGGCAAGGTGAACAAACCAGTCCGGGCTGATGAGGTCAGAGCCTATGATCAAAGGTCACACGGGTACACGAGAGACACGGGAACAGAACAGGCTCTTGGACAGAAGCTCGCCCATGGACATATATTTTAGACCCACTTGGTCCTTGTTATGCATTAAAACTAGCTGCCAAAATTAAAGACTATGAAGCCTTCACATACAATCCCAAAGTGAGGCTTCTTTGAGTCCGAGGGCCTGGTCACATAAGCCCCACTGCAGGTTGGAAGGCTGCGCTGTTGCCGCTTGCACTCCGTTCCGTGTACCCCTCACAGTAGCTGTGCCCCAAGGCCAGGCCCAGCCTGCTATCCACTCACCCATTAGCACTGCTGCCTCCTGAGGGCGATGGCAGCAAAGGCAGGAAACTACTTCTTTCGCTAATATTTCTATCAAAAATGAGAAAACAAGCTGGATTCTGAGAGATGTCAGCAGTGCAAGGGCCTCTCTTGATCCTTCCTCATAAAAATGGACAAAAGGATCCCAAAACCAGAAATGCACGAACTACATGTTCACTAAAAGTATCTCCAGGAGCCCCCAAACACAAGAAGGTATGGGATAGTCACTGACAGCTGCAAAACCTACATGGGCATCTGCTCCTGCACGGGAGGAAACGGAAGGAAAACGAGACATCTTATGGCGGGGCGATGAAAAGAACCCCCAAAGAGCCCCCAGGTATTCACTGGAAAATATGACGGGTCAACTCGAGGACAGCAGCGAAACTAGAAGGGGTTTACCCAATGTGATAGCAAAACCCAAGGGCAACGGGACAAGAGAACAGAAGATCTAGATTAAGTGGGTTGGAGGAGAGGAACGGAGGTGGGACACCTCGTAGGACAACCCCCATCCTGTCAGACTCCACCCTCCAAGGAGTGGGATCTAACATACTTCTGAAAACATAGAACTCCTTAAGGTGTATACTTACTATTAAGAGTTATAATAACATAAGAGAGGTGGCTCCTAATTCCCTTCTCCTTCGGTGTGGGCTAGGCTTCGTGACGCACAGAATACGGGAGCAACGACAATGTGCAACTTTGGAGACTAACGCGAAACATGGGGAAAACTTTTTAGCAGCTGCTCATCAGACAGGGGATTATGATCCAGAATATGTGAGACACTAAAAAACATCAGACCCCCCCCTCCCAATTGAAAGACCCAATCCAAAAGTGGGCATCTGAAATGAACAGACATTTCTCAGATGAGGAAGAAGAAACAGCAAATAAACAGGAAAACTGTTCAACGTCACTGGTCCTTCAAGAGATGCAAATTAAGACAACGCTGAGCTTCCATCTCACTCCAGAAAGAACGGCTGCTGTAAGGAATCAGCCAATAACAGATGCTGGAGGGGTTGTGGGGAGAGAGGAAGCCTGCTCCACTGTGGAGGGGGGTACACTGGTGCCACCGCTGTGGAAATCAGTGTGGACATTTCTCAGAAAACAAAAACTAGAGGTTGCATTTGACCCAGCTATTCCCCTTCTTGGTATCTTCCTGAAAGAATTAATTAAGAGCATCACAGGGGCTGGGGATTAAGCTCGGTGGTGCTATGCCTGCCTTGCAAGTGGAAGGTCCTGAGTTTGATCCCCCGTACCAAGAAAAAAAATGACTTAAAAGCATCCTACCCCAGCAATATATGCTCACCCATGTTTATAGCCACACAGTATGTAACAGCTAAAGCTCGGAAACAGCCCAGATGCCCATCCATCAAAGAATGGATAAAGAACATGTGGGGTTTGCTTTTATACAATGGAGTACTACTCAGCCATCAAGAAGGGTGAGCTTCAGACATTTACAGCTACATGGACGGACCTCAAGACCACGGTCTTAAGTGAAATAAATCAGACACATATGTGTAAACGCCACATTGTTTCTCTGGTGTGAGAAACCAAAAGTGGAAATACGGACTGAAATGCGTAATGGATTTGGGGAAATGGGAAGAAAATGTTCAGATGGGAAGGGGCTCAAGGAAGGTGGGAGGGAGAAGGAAGGAAGGAAGGGACAAGAAAAACGTGAAAATACAAGGAAAAATGGAAACAAAGTGTTGTGGGCAGAGGGAGGGGAGGGGGTGAGTGGAGGGAGGGGTGAGAAAAAAGAAGCAGATACGTCGTGCACAGGTACAAATTCCCCACGATGAGTGTCATCATTATGATTCCTCAAAGGTACTCGTAAATGTTTTGCTATGTAAAAAACCATGTTGAGCTTCCTCTTCGTTCATTGCTCTCCGAGGTCTCTCCTCCTGGAAGAAGCCAGCTGCCGCGTTACAAGGATGCTCAGTCGGCTATGAAGAGAGTCCCACGGTGAGGAACCAAAGCTCCCAGCCGACAACCACAGGAGAGAGCCACTGTCAAAGTGGATTCTCCAGCCCCGGTCGGGCCTTCAGCTGCCAGCAGCCCCTGTCAACATCCTGACAGCAACATGTGATAAATCCAGAGTCAGAACCACCCAGATTCGCTGTCTCTAAAATCCTGACCCACGTGAAATGTGAAATAACCAATGGTTTTGTTCTAAGCCGCTATATTTTAGGGCGATTTGTTAACACAGCGATAGATTTAAATATATGCAGGATGGAATCTATTTCAAAGTTACAACGAAAAGAA